CGGTCAGTTGCAAGCAATAGGCATTCCCAGCAGTACAATTTGCAGCGTTTCTCAGAGGCTGTGAGCCACGGGTACCGTTCATAATTGCTCGTCTGAAAATGACGGACAAACCCTTTTCCTTGCTGGGACAGGCTAGCTAGCGCAGGAGTTGGGCGACCTCTTTGCACAATATCCAGCTTTTCGTGGAAGATCCGTCTTGAAAATTGTGTGGAAAGTAGTTCTGCAACCAGATCAACATCTTCTCCTTCGGCCATTTTGGGTTAAAATGCAGTGATAGGTCTAGCAGGCGCTAATCCAATCACCAAACGTGCACGGCCAGTCTCGACGTAAGCCCTTCTAGCTGGCCCTGGTACGCAGACTCGTGATCTGATTGGCTATTGCAACCTGACTATGCCCGTTCATTTACAGCGCATGGGGGCCTGCTCTGTTTAATCTGAAGGCCCCTAGCAAGTTTAATTTACCTGGCAACACAAGCTAGCTGAAATATGATTGGTTAAAAACTCTACCATAATTTTTTTTTTTTAGTTAATTGTTTATTGAACATACAATACAATAACAATTGACAAAAGGCAAGAAAAAGTTACAAAAGGAAAAATAAAAATAAAAAGTAAATAAAACAAACATCATCACCGTTATATGCTCAAAGGAGTAGGAAGAAGTATACAGCTTATCTAGTCCTACCCCTTGTTGTGTAACTTCGAGTTGGACGTTGGGCCGACAGCTCTGCAAATTCTCCAAAACCACGTGTTTCAGCAAAGATAAGGGCGGATAAAGGCTTCGCGGCCGCACCTTGTAATCTTGTCATGCAAGGGGCCCCGGCACCCTGAATAATGCACATACGTCTTCCACTTAAGAAGCGGGCAAATGTCAGAAACACTCCCCGCGCCCCTCACATATCATACATGTACATGTACATACATACACACACACACATATATAGACATATACATACATACATACATACACACATACATATATACACACACTACTGTAAACATCCGTGACTAGTTTTCTCTAGGACGAATAGAAACCAGTAATACACAGTCTCTG